GACAAACTGTGTTCATCATGTTTCAGTGTCACTGGCTTTATTCGCTCTCAATGTAGGTGCAGAAGCCCCACCCACTTTCTGTCCAGGCCTTCTGTTTGCAAGGGACGGTCAATCAGCACAAAGTTGCCTCAATAGGAAGAGGAGTTAAAACAACTTGTTCAAAATGGGGGGTAAACTAAGAGGGTTGTTGCCAATAATTAAAATAAGTAAAATATCCTGATAGGCTAAATGCACAGAGCTGCACTATGACCTGATTCCTGAAGAGATTTAGAGTCTGAGCATCATCAACATCGACAAACATCCTGTTCACACAGTAGTAGTCATGATTCAGGTGACTGCGCCACCCACAAGATGGCGAATTGTAAATGTGTTTTTGAAAAAAGGAAATCGTTTAATATCCCCAAAAAAGAAACTTTAATCCTTCTGAGCATTTATTTTGAAAGTCCAGTGTAGTTTGGCTAAAATGATTTTAAAGGATGAAACAGCATGTAGGAGCTGTTTGTAAGTGACTAAGTATTGGGGGACAGATAAAAATGTTAAAATGTCACTGTATTATTAAGTGGGCTTTATTTTGTATACATAATTGAACAGCTCCTTTCATGAGCCCATTTAAGTGTCTTTAATATTGCACCGTGATTCAGAAAGCCCCACATTTGCAGCCAGTTTGCAGACACAAAAGTCTGACTTAGTCACCACTACGGATGTCCTGACGCCTGCCATCCAGTGGAAGGCAGGGGATTTTCCACATCTCCACCGCATGGGACACGGCACGTGTGTGTAAACGGACACACAACTACACTCGGAGTGAGAACGAATTGTGAAACTTTGGCATTAACTTTATGAATACATTAAAACTGAAATGGCTAGTCTTTAGCCCACGGTCGGCGTTCGCTCGCTGCAATGTAATGACCTTTCACTGAAGTTCAATAAATCTCCTCAATTTTCAGCCTTGCTTTGCCGGTCATGAATTGCAAATGAAGCCGGATCCAACGCTGCTCTATCAGAGGGTCAAATTAAGCAGCTGCATTATCCATTTGTCTAATAGGGACGCTGCTGACAAAAAGAGAGGGGGGAGCATTTTGTTTGATGCTTTTTCCATTAGCAGTCAGTAGATCAAACGAGATGAAAACATTGCCCAGGCGCACCCTTAAAAAAAAAAAAAAAAAAAAAAAAAAAAAAAAAAAAAAAGCACAACGAGTCCACACACACACACAATTCTATCTACTTCAATTAGAGGTGTCCATGATGGAAATCCTCAATTGGATAATTTATAAGCCAACTAAGTTGCAGTGACACTGAGGTTATGATAACTAATGAACAGTGTGTGTGTGGGCACTCACTGAAATCCAGCATCATCTTGTTTAGCTGCTCGTCCTCCTCTTCCTCCCTGAGAAGATGAAGCAGAAGCACACAGAAGACAGACAGGTCAGTCAGCAACTGAACGCTACACTTAGAGCAATTTAAATAATCAGTTTCATTACGTCATACTTAGTCCACAAAATGTCAAAATAAGGCAAAAAGTGCCCCTCTCAGTCTCCTACGGGCCAGAGGGCCGACGTTCAAGTTGATTTTTTTTCTCTAGTTAAGCTGTTTAAAATGTACTGATGAACAAGCTTAAGCCAATTTGCTACATTTGATACAAAGTAAATAATAAATACAAGACATTTTTCCTCAATACACAACTAAAACTGTTATATTTGTAATGCATTTACTACATGGTTGATTTGCTGATAGATTACAGTCACAGAAGTGACACAGGATAAGAAGTATAGTCAGTCATCTCGTGGGATGCTTTTAATATCTTTGAGTTTTAAGCAGTTAACTCGGTTTGGAGTTAAACATTATCAAATCCAAACTTTTTACACACACAACATACTCTGCTCTGCACACACCTGAGTCTGTCCTCATCCAGACCCTCCACGATAGCGTTTCTATCGTTGACAATCGCCACCAGTTTCTTCATCAGCTGCTGTTCTTTCTTCCTGTCCCAGGATGTTTTCAGATGTTCTGCACACACAAACATATTTCAGGCTCAGATCAGCGCTCTGTTTTCCTTTTCCCCTGTTGTGCACTCTGCTCAATTTCATCCCTAAACGTCCTCACCTGGTTTTTCCATCAGCCTCCTGAGCTCTTGCTCAACAGTGGGCTGCTCTTCCTCCAGCTCCTGGGTTCTTCCACTGCACATGTTTGAAAATAGAGATGACACCTAATTCATGGCTTTATTAAAGAGTACATCCTTTAGAGAGCAGGTTAAGATGGTCCACCTTAAACACATTCACAGAGACCTCACGTGTTATTGTCGACGCATCTGAAACTTTCAACGTTTTTAGAAAAACAATGCGTCATCATCTCCATATTTGGTAGTTCTTGGGATAATTCTGTATCTTAGTCAGAATTTTTCAAACATCATTTGGCAACAGATGTATGTTTACGCATCCAGCAGGTGTGTAAGTCTGAACCTGACAAATGTAAATCTGACATTCAGACTCCCAACGTTTTGGCCTCCACCTCCCCCCTGAGATTCTCAGCTCTTGTTTCCTTAGCTGTTGACATATTGACACAAAAGCTTTAATAATAAGTTTCCACTCTGTTAAAAATATAGGTGTACCCAATGAAGTGGCTGATAAGGGTATACTGTACTATGTACAAATTCATTAGGTACACCTGTTCATCTGGTTGCTAATGCAAATAGTCAATCACGTGATAGCAACTGAATGGAGTTAGGTATGGAAAAAACTACCTGCTGAATTTCAAGTTCACGAGAATGAGAGAGAATGAGAACATATCCAGCGAGCGGCAGTTCTCTGGGAGAAGAGGTCAGAGGAGAAGGGCCAGACTGCTTTGTGCCATTAGGAAGGCAACAGATAACCATTCGTCACATATCGAGGTATGATGATCGCCGAATGCACATCACAGAGAACCTTGACACTGATGGGCTACAGAAGACCATACTGGGTGCCGATCATGTGACCTAAGATCAGGAAACTGAGGCTACGGTTCACTCAGGCTCACCAAAACTGGACAATAGAAGATGTCGCCTGGCTTGAGTCTCAATTTCTGCTGAGACAGACAGTAGGGTCAGAATTTGGGGTAAAGGACATGAAAGCATGGATCCATCCTTCCTTGTCTCAACAGTTCAGGCTGATGGTGGAAGTAGTACCAATTGAGCATTGTGTAAACACCACAGCCCACCTTACTGATTGTTACTGACCATGTCAATCCCTTTATAACCAGTGTCAGCAGGATAACACACCATGTCACAGAATTCAAACCACTTGAACATGACGAGTTCACTATACTCAAACGGCCTCCACAGTCACAGGATCTTAATCCAATACAGTGGATTAAGTGGTCCAACCCATTACGGACAAGGTGTACCTAATAAAATGTCTGGAAATGCTTTATAGCTACAGGTCAGTGTTATATCCGTCTTTACCATTTATTTAGCAAATTAGTATTTTCAGTGGAATTGTCGCTGTTGTGTTCAGTAGCGTCGTGCTTCACACTTGTGTTTGGACACTGCAGACAGTCGGGGGTTGGTGGGGGTGGAAGGGGTGAGGCGGGTTAGCTGCTTAGTTCCAGGACACCCTGCAGTGACTCGGAGGAGGGAGGACACTGGGAATTCACACTGTCAACCTTCTGGCCACAAGTCTGTTTCACTAATCGCTAAATAGTGGCATGCCCCCTTCCTGAGTGAGAGTGTGTGTGTGTGTGTGTGTGTGTCTACTCACATGTAGACCAGTTCAGACTCCCGGCGCATGGCCAACTGTTTGTTCCTGATCAGACCAAACCACTCAACCATGAGCTCATCCGTGAGAGTGTCATCGTCACCCTCTGACGAGGAACACAGAGCACACAGTTAATCCCAGACACATGCATTAAGGTTTCTTTTAAATTCACAGCACGTCCTGACTGAAAAGCCTTCACAAAACACACAGCTGGCGCGTGCATCCCACCTTCTTCGCATTTGCGCAGCTTCACCTCCAGATCGACTCCCCTCTTTTCCAGCTCGTTTAAATTCTGTTCAATCTCCTCAAGCTCCTTCGTGATGTCCTCTTTGGGAATGTAGTCTGGCTTCATCTACAGACGCAAACAGATGCAGAGAAAAGTGCATGAATGACATGCTCATTTCAAAAAAAAGCTACGGCAAACTTATTTTCAGAGACCCACTACCTTCTTTGTCTCTGACTTGGTGCCATTCTTTGTTTGCCCTTTCAGACCCTCTTGTAACCCTAAAAAAAAAAGGTGGAGATAAAAAGCAGAGAATAGATCAACCAACAAAGCTGAGAACGGATAAAAATTAGAAAGGCACGACTCACAGCAAACTGTTAGGAAGGCTTGTTCCTGTAAATGTTTGGTTATGACCACGCTCTTACCCTTTGATGTCGGTGGCGTGACAGAAATACTCAGGCTGGGAAACTGAGAGGAAGGCCTCGCAGAAATCTCTGAGGTCTTCGGAGCCTCATTAGACCCTGGTTTAGTGGAAGGGCCAGCAGGCCTGTGGGCGGGAAGAAGGACAAATGGAGAGGATTCGATTAACCTACGAGTAGATTCTTTCCCGTCTTGCTACAGTTTTGATTCATGAGAGCGAGAGGAAAGGTCATTCGTGGAAAAGGAACTCCGAGCACTGAGCATATGTTGCACCACGGAGGACTCGACTCAGTCCCGACACCATTTGGGGCTCGCATGCATGTGGCGGAAGAGGAGAGACTGAAAGCTCTGACTACAAATGATGGCCGAGACATTTGGAGGAGCAGCAGGTACAGGCTTCCTGTGGGAGGAATGTTTGGTGAGACGGATGAAAGACTGGATCACACGATGGATGGATGGACAGGACATCAGGAGGGGGGGGGCTCATACAGTTAATGCCTCACGATGTCGATATGCTGAGAGGCCACCCACGTACATACACTCCCTGCTGTTATCAGGAGCACGAGTCAATAAGGAAAAGGACTCAATGAGAATCATAAGAAGTAAGAATCAATTAAATCAATCAAACAAGTCTTACTTGGTTTCTTTGGAGACGGGCTTGAGCTTCGACCTCCAGTCTGCAGGAGTCTCAGTCTCCTTCACTGCTGCGGGAAAGAAAAAAAATCAATTGAAACCAGTTCAGTTCCCTCATTAGACATCCACTAGTCAATGTCAGTTCCTAGTTCTGTTGGTTTCTTGTAAATGCTATTTGTTAAATGGCATTTTTACAACAGTGACAGCAAATGCACAAAAGCCAAGGATGATATTACACCCAAAGTAGCTTCCAAATAACCATATAAGCAGCAGATTAGAGACACAGTATTAATAAAATAATTAATAAGAAGCACTGTAGGAGTACAAACCAAGGCAGCTCACTCTCTGGGCAGCATTTATATATAAGGAAATCATATTTTATACGCAAACATGATGTAGGAGTAGGTGATGGATAATATGTATTGATTTGTAAATAACTTGAGATTATTGTATATAAAATTATACTATAGTAGATTTCTAACAGGGCAGCTCGTTTTCTTTCTCTCAACAATACTTTCTTTAAAGACAGAACACATTTCGGGGTCAACTTGGGAGAAAGGCAGATGTGAAATGTAAAGGTCAGAGGTCAAATGTGTGTCAAAAGTGTGTGTGAGACCTTGTGTATCAACTCTCTGCTTGTAAAGTGTGTAAGTTTAACCTGATGTGTTGGGTAATGTGCTGCCCGTCTTCAAGGGTGCCCTGTCTGCAGTCTTGGCCTTGAGCCCGCTCTGACTGCCCGGGCTCTCAGAGGAGTTCGTGGTGTCTTCAAACTGCAGGTCAGACAGGATCGATGGGTTCACTTTCAGCTTCACCTTCCCTCCAACTCCCTCTTTCTCCTTCTTTGGTGTCTCGACTTTAGGTTGAGATCTGAATAGAGGTGAAGAATGCAACTTAAATGCCTCTCTTTACCAGCAGAGGTCAGGGTAGAGCAGGATACAAAGTGTAATCACATGTTTCTGTGAGTCTCAGGTTAGATTACTTACTTCTCAGTTTTATTTAGTACTGTCGTCGCCCACGATTGCTTTTTGTTGTTATTGTTGTTTTCCTCAGACAGTTTTTTGGAGATGAAGGCTGCTGCTGATGCTTTTGACTTATTACTCTCATCTTCCTGTTTCACCTTCCAGCCAGTGCCAGTTGTTTTAGCTGTATTCCCACCTTTGTCCAAACTTTCATTTACCTCTTTTTTTCCAGTACCACCGACATTTATGACCACAGTAACAGCTTTCCCTGCCGTGGCCTGTTGTGCCTTACCACCAACACTCTGGCCTTTGTTTATGTCCACATTGAAGGTTGAAGTCTTTTTCTCCTCCACCTTTGCCGTGTTATCTTCCTGGAAGAACTTGAGCTTGGACTGGAGTGTCTTGGCAGTGGTTGCCGAGGGTCGAGGAGTTTCAGCCGGCCTGGTATTGATAGATGGGGTCACAATGGTAGTAGTGTCACGTGAAGCTGCGGGTCTGGCCGAAGAGTTAGATGATGCAGCCCAGGGGGCTGGGGACGCAGAAGTGGACTTGGGAGTGGTGGGTTTCTCCGACACCCATGAAGGACTCAGACTGGAGGATGTGTAAGTAGGAGCAGGTGTACTGTGTTTACTCGAGTCTTTAAGAGGAGTGAATTTGGAAACATAGGAGTTTGGGGTCAAATCTTGAAGAGGCGTGCTTGTGTTTGCAGATGACAGCAACCTGTGAGAGAGAAAGTACAACACACACACAGGTTACAACAGGGAACATAGACACAAACCAGGAACATAAACCTGCGGTTGGTGCCATTTTAGCCTCAATACACCTCGTTTATAATGATGCTAACCTGCAAACCCAAGCTACAGGAAGAATGTATTGGTTCAAAACGTAAATTAAGCTCAATTTGACTTTTTTAACATTTTATGTTAATAAATGAACATTCTGAATTCATAGAAATGTGTAACGTTTGCAATTTTAAAAAAAAATCTACATTTAGCGGTAACAGTGTTCTGGCTAGTTTGCTAAAGCTACTAATCTTTCTTTTCCTCTTGGTAGAAAAAGCAGGACAAATTAAGGTCCTATGTAAAAAAAACCAAAAACAATAATATATCAAAAAATGAACAAAGAATGAAACAATTTAAGCTTTTTTTTTAATGAGAAAAGTAAAATAGTCTTTGCTAAGAAGAAACTAGCTAAGTAGCGGCAGAGCTAGCAGTCAATAGCTAACAAAATCCATGGATTTATCTGATTAACAGACTTCTGAAATATTTAAATGTGTTTTTCAATTATTAAACTAGTTAAAATGTATGAGAAAGGAAAACTAGAATATTTTTTAGTTGTTTTAACCATTTTTCTTAATACAAGCGATTAAAAAATAAAACTGAGTTATATAGAGGCATTACAAATACAATAATTAATAAGAAAAACTAAAATAAGTATAATAATTCTCTAGCATTCTTACACAAATCAGTCTTTCCCTGTTCTAATGGCAGACTTGGAATAAACGTAATGGACCTAAATGGCGCCAACATTAGCATTCCTATCAGCTTACTTTGCACAGTTCCTGTGATAAAGCTTCCCATCCACTAGATGTCGCTGCACCAGGTGAACATGCTTATGACAGGATGCACATGTGCTACTCAGGGTGCCTGCCTGAGATTTTCCAACCACAACCTCCTAGAAGAAAGAAAGAGAGAAAAAAGTGTGGACAAGAGGGGACTTCAGCCATTACAACTAACTGATGTCACACAATGTGGGCCTTTTTTTTTTTTTAAGTAACTACGTCATGGCGTAATCATCTGCTGACACAGACCAAGTGACCTGTCTGTGTACTATTTGGTCATCGTTGACGTGGATGAACGTACACAACCTTGGTCAGTATTTCGTAAATGAATTACTTTTAGACTTCCGCCCCAATTTAGAAATGTAATAGTAACTATTCAAGTTTACCTGTGTTGAAGTTTTGTTTTGATTTGGGGAAGGAAGTGGCTTTGTGATGTTGGAGGATGGGGGAGGGCTGTTCTCAATGGCAGGCTTAGAAGAGGGAAACACCTTAGACGTCACCGCCTGGTTCTTCTTCCCTGACGGCTCATCGCTGGGGCCGTCGGCTGGACGCTTTATACCCGCCATTCCACCGACTGTATGCAAAGACAGATGAACAGATGAGATGTGTGCAGATGGACAGAGAGGGATACAGTGAGACTTTATTTAATACTCACTCGGGGAGCGTCCGTGGAAGTAGTTGTAGTATTGGGAGACATAAGTCAGGATGCTGAGGCGGTCAGGAATCTTAAGTGCCACCATGTCTTCTGCATCCAGCAGTGCTGGAATTCCCAGTTGTTCTTCTGCAACACTGAACGCCTGCAGATAAAACCAGTTTTATCCAGTGAGAAACGAAACAAGACTTTGGGTTTTAAATCTAGACGAATGCAATGCACTTGTAAATCATAAAAGCTTACGTTGTGTGATGTCTATGAAAGACTTTCTAGATCTTTAAGGACACCAAACATGATTCTGCTCTTTAGATGTCCCAAAGAAAAGCAAAAGAAGATAAAGGTGGGGTTTTGTTTCAAAAATGCATGCATTCTCTGAGGTTTGCAGACAACACAAGTTTAATTTGAAAGAGGAAGAGATGTTTGCATAGTGTGAACAAACCATTTTCATTGTTCTACTGTCCCTATCTACGTCAAATACAAATCACCAACCCGGATTTTGTTGAATTCTATTCCCTCTACCCTTTATGTGAGTCACTATTGAGAAATAAATCAAGAATTTGCACACTACACTAACATCCAGCAATTCCACGGAAGAAACAAGCAGTGGCAGGCCAACGAGCACCAGCATCGTTGTTTAATCGGTAATCAGATAATGAAGAGAGCCACTCAGATGCTGTTTGCTTTGCTGTGCCCTGTTAATCTCTTACAGTGTTTTCTTATTTGATTGCCCAACATGTTGTTTCAGCTTTGAGCTAAAACCCAGAGCAGCGTCAAACAGTTCCTGCACTTTAGCTTTATTCTCTGCTGGCCCAAAGAGCAGGCGTTTTGACATGTCGAGCTCTTGGCACTCCCCGAGTTCAGTCTAACAATGAAGAATCTGTGAAGAAAAAGAAAGTGAAGAATGCAAAGTGCCCGCATTGAAGCAGTCTGCTTTTTGCCACCACTTCTCTGCTCGCCCATGCTGAATGTTATTTTCACAATTACCCAAGATCCCACGGTGCTGATGTAAACCGAAGTTTAGTCTTAAACTCAAGCTGACTAACTTAAAGTCTGTTTTCTTGGAGTACTGAGCTTCATCTGTGTAGAGGAACTGCACACTCAGCTGTAAATCTCAAACGCTATCAGGGGCACAGGTGTGGCTCCTGTGGTCATGGTTCATTTACCCCACGAAGATTACCTGCTTCCTCGCTGGTTATATAAATATGATGATGTTCTTCAATGTCAGATAGCAACACTGAACTTTTCATGTATCATTAACTATTTCTCCCATAAAGACGACACCCTTAATGTCGAGCTTTGACACCGTCAATAAAGCTGTGGTTTGAAGACCATTGCAATAGGTACCAGGGTTTTACAAGGGTAGTCCTAGTTAGCCGATCATCCTCACGAACTTCTGATGCAAACCTTTGTTCTGGACATGGTCTGAAATATGACAGAAAAGAGAGACAAGGGTTTTCCCTAGCAGGCGTCACAGGGCAAAAGAGTTAAAGTCCAGGGCTATGAAGTGGAGTTAACTCATGACTCCTTTTATAGAGGAGAGTCATCAGAGTTCAGCAACTGGTGAAAGAACTGAAAATGAAACTGTATTTTACTTTTACTTCAGAGTCCAGCCTGATCTGTCTTTTGAGCCCAGACAGACACTGACTGCTTCAACTTTTACACCAGTGCTGGATGTTATTTATATGCACGCATCATCACAGTGCTTTGGTATGCTGTATACTTCATGTATGCTGGATCATAAAACGCTGAGACCGATTACAAACCTTAAAGCTTTCCCCCATGATTCGAAGTTGTATACTCAGGTCAGATGGTCTGGAGTGTGGGATGTTATTGAATGAATAACACATTCCCAAGTGTTATTCATTCAGTCTTTCCTGAATGTTTACACTGAATTTGGACAAAGAACGCTCATATTTGCAGCTTCCTCCTCCTGGAGGGGGGAAGGATGAAAATCAACTAAGTCTGATGGCGCTGGGCCCTGTGTTCTGGCCCGAGACAATTTCCACTGATGTTTGAGGTTATAAATTGTGTCTGTTTTTATATTTTACTCTTCATCCCACAGAGACTGGTTTTGTTTTGGTTTTCTGCTGTGTGCAACTGCTGTGTGTCTTGGCCAGGACATTCTCACAAAAGAGAGAGTCATGCTATCCTTTCTAAATAACAAATATACCTGTGCTTTCTAATGACACCGAGGTACTTTTATTTTGTTTCACAACAAACAAGAGGAATAATCACCAGCCACCGCTGGTATTCTGTTTGTTTTCACCATCATCACCACCTGATATTTGACAAAAACCCCATCCACTGATAAGGATCAGCAGATGTCGCTGAAAGTATTTGGAAAACTAACACCCAGGTAAAAAAGAAATCAATAGTTCATGGGAATGAATTCACTCATAAATGGGATGTACAAGTTAACATTAGGTGAGCAAACAGCACCACACACCACGAAAACAGCTTCAACAAAAACTAGCTTAAACTCATTAGCCAAAGTGGCTGTGTCCGTCTTTTATTTACAGTTTGTGGATACAGCTAAAGATTTATTTTTTTAAATGATGACATGGCTGCCTTGGATTATGTCATCTTTTATATACAGTCTATGATTGAGATTTAGATTCAGATTTATTGTCACATGGCAACACCATATTTTAGATATGTGCAAAGGCAAAAATAAGAGAGCATCTGTCTGGCAATGGAATAAAAACAAAAGTAAATAAAGGAACAAGTCATGATTTATTTAGTGACTTGACAGTGGTTGGAAAATAGCCCTTCTGCGTCCTGCTCCTGTAACTGAGGATGTATTTATAGTTTTCTGGGCTGGGACTGGAACAGGTTACATTCAGAGCAAACTGGTTTTCAAAAAACAGACTGATTTATTAACTCGCATCGTAAATGATAACTAGGGTGGTGATTTTTGTCCATCAGCTTTACTTTAATTTTTTAAATAAATCAACAAACTCTATAATTTTTGCTAACAATACTAAGAGTCTATAGGATGGCAAAGCAGAACCATAGACTCTGTATAAACAGTGCATGCAGTCACCAGTTGGTGGGAATATTCTGGCCTTCACCGTCTTGGGTTTTTATAAAACTAGATGTGACGAATAAGGGCTGGGTCTGATTGAGAAACTGAGGACAATGCAAGCTTGTGTGGTCAGTTACAAAGTAGCCACGACTGAGGGATTCATTATTTCCAAAACAAGAATGTTAATATTAAAAGTTCATTTCAATCCATCAAATAGCTGGTGACATACTTCAGTCTTAAGCTGGCATTGTCATATTCAAGAACAAAATAAAAAAAGGGGAGGATTAGGGGAGCCTTTGTTGGATTCAGGAAATCGGTTTGTATAAATAAAAAAAGTAAGTGTGAGCATCCAGAATGGAAACATGTCTTACCAGCTTGTTGTTCTCATAGACATCGTCCTTCTTCAGCGAATCAAATTTGCTGCAACAGAGCAGGAAAAACCCAGAAGTTACAAAACACATAAATCAACTTCCCTCCTGACGTCTTCAGTTTTGAAGCAGCGCAGACTAACATGTGTTATGCAGTCATGCATTGCTGACTCACTTCTGCATACATCACAACAGCAGCGTGACACCTGCCTCACTGATCCCACGCTGAAGATCTGAAACTAACATGAGGTTCAGCCTGCATTAATCACACGGTCACGACTGAGCACGCTGAAACTGAGCCTTCAGCCACTGTTTACTGCTGCGGCTCATGTAAACATGGCAAGCGCCTTCGCTCTGCTCTGGCTCGCCATAAATACTGGAATGAGGCGATTACAGCAGCTGTGTCTTTTCTGTCAAATGGTCTTGCTGAAACAAAAGCAGGCATCTCTGCGAGAGTGACTGGCCAGGAGTCAGTTAAAGATGATGAGAAAATACTGCTTAGAGGCTTGGGCATCAATCTTGCAAATCTTCTGCAGTGAAGAGTGCAAGTCTTCAGATTTTTATAGTAGGTACTGGAAAAGTACAACCAACTCTAAACGTAGACATAATAATGTAGCTCATTGTCCAATTGTGATGATGACATTAAAAGCTTAGTTTCTGTTGTGACTCGAATTGAACTTATCAAGGACACGTAGTTTAAAATGGGACCGTTTCTGAGGACAGATCATCACAAACTTGGACACGACACATGTGGCCAGCAGCAGTCACAGGAATTTGTAAAATGCCCAATTCCATTACGCAGACATGCTGAGCATTGAAATCGAAAGCAGATATGTAATAGTGCTATCTTGAAATCACCCCCCAGAAAACCCTAAGTGACCGTCTCTGCAACGCTCTTTGGGTCACAGATCAGCTTCGTCTCCTGCTTCCTACAGATCAGTAAATGTTCGGATTTGTCTCTGACAAAATAACACAAAGAGAAGGGAAAAAAGCGAAATTTCTCTGCCATTAAACTCGGAAGCAAAATCACTGACTTCAATCTTCCATGAAAATAGTTTTGTGTTGTCAACAGACAAGTCAGGAGTGTATCCAATAAGTTTCACTTATTTCCTGCTTTCGTTCTCCGGTCCTGTTTCAGGTGTACTCACATGAGATCGGGTCTGTGTTTGTGGATGAGGGCGCAGAAAGCCAGTCCGTCCCTGAAGGACGTGGTCATGTTGGTGATGGAGACATCCCGGTAGCCCTCACACTGGATCCGGCACCACTGCTGCAGAGCCTTCACGGCCGCCATCCCGGAGCTCGGAGCCGGACTGATCCGTGTGAAGAGCGCAGCAGTGCCTCTGGAAGCTCACAGAGCTCCCTCCTTTCTTCGCTCCTCAGCGTCCAACAAGTAAAACTTTAGAAACTTTCCACAGAAGCCCAGAATGACGCCTTATCCGGGAAACTGGGAAGGGAAGTCTTTTAGCGTTTGTGTGAATCACCTCACTGACTCTGAGTTAAGGAAAGAACCTGGACGTGACACCTGCGAGAGGTCGACGATGACGCGATGGTGTGGGTGGAGTTTGTCTTTTAACTCTTTGTGTTCATCTGCCGAGTGACACCGCAGATTCTGGGATCCGATACCTAGCAAATACAGGGCCAGTGTACCGATACCAATACCGATAATTGTAACCTACAAACCATGAGATGAATCGTCATCAATTTGCAAATTTTGAACAGATTTTAATGACCACTGGGATTTTTATTTTCCACAATAATTAGTTAACACAACAAAACACACCTTTCAGCTTTTCATATATTTTGAAATTAGTTTTTTTTGGAGAGCTGGAATGTAAATTTTAAAGGACTTGGTCGGGTTCTGTATTTTAAATGTGTTGTAGGCTATGAATAAAACAGATGTGACAGTCAACAATAAAAGGTTATTATATTCAGACATTTTTCATAGTGCATATTTGATATTTTGTCAGTTTAAAAACATTATTTTATTACAATTCAGTAGGCTACATACTGACCGTAAAGTATCGATCCGATATCAACATTTAGTTTAATCCACCCACATCTATTGCATCTGTCTGTGTTTGCCTGTCTGCTATAAAGCCAAGTCATAAATCCAAATGTATACAAAGAGAAAAGTAGCCCTCTACTTACTTCCCTAAGTGCTGTTCCAGAGAAGACGTAGAAACCACAAAGAGAAAACCATCATGTGTAATTTTGCGTGTGTTAAGTATGTAATATAAACGTGACCTCAGGTCATTAGACTCCCACAGATACCCAGAAACAATACTGGGGACTTGCAGCTATGTGAAGGATTTCCATCCTGAGCTTAACAAACAAAAATCTATAAGTACCCACATCCCACCTAACAACAGGAACACATGCTCCAGTATGTACCTAATGTCTGTAATGAGCTATTTTAGTTATAAGGGGATAAAGAGTGAAAGCTAGGTGTGGTTTATTCTTGTGTAAGTCAGCTTGCCCGGTCTTGTTCTGTCTGCTGGGTGTGTTGAAGGAGAGGGGTGTAGTCTCTTCACTGGGTTACCTGACACCTGCAAAATCCAGCAGGGTAAGACAAAAGAACAGAGGGCCGGGTTTACTCATTCAAACGTGCAAGGATCCATTTTCACCCACCTTTCTGCCAGGCTTCTTAAAAGAATTCAGTTAAATTAGATGCAGAGAAAAAATGATAGAGGCAGCAATACCTGATCATTAGATACAAGTGTCTGTTAAAAACAAAAACAGTATAACCTGTATCTGCTGGTATTAAAGGTACTTTCCACTGCTGTCCAAAGGGTCACCAGTGTGGATGGATGGATCCACATGTTTGGATTTGGCATAGATTTCACACTGAATGCCCTTCCTGGTACAATCCTCTCGTGTATCTTGGCTTGGGCCCAGCAGTCAGAGTAGACAAGTCTGTGACTTCCTGAGGTCAGGAGCTCCTTTGTGTCTTCTCTGGCTTATGCATCCAAGGCAAATATGATTATCTTTTTTCTGTTGACATGATTTCCTATATTGTGTGTGTGTGAGAGAGAGAGAGTTTTAAAAGAACAGTTTCCCACCGTCTCTGTTTTGTTTTACCCAAATTTGATCTGCATTTCAATTCTTTTTTTCATTGCATCAGTTCACAATAGTTGAGAGTGGGAAGGAAAAACTCCCTTTTAACAGGAAGAAACCTCCAGCAGAACCAGGCTCGGGGAGGGGGCAGAGCACCTATTAGAGCACTTCGCTCTCGCTCTGCAGGCCTACTTGTTGTTCCTAGAGTATTTAAAAGTAGAATGGGAGGGAGAGCCTTCAGTTTT